CCAGTCTCCTTCTTGAAGACCTCTATTTTCCATTTCTATATGAATATTTTATATCCATTTCTTTCTTGGCCTTCCCCTTTTATTTCTCTGTGTAGGTCTCCAGTTTCAAACCTTTCGTGGTATCCTTTCTTCGTTTATCCGTCTTAGGTGTCCATACCATTTTAATTGTTTTTCAGCTATCGTATCCATTATTGTGTTCTTTACTTTCATTCTCTCTCTTATGTTTTCATTTCTTATGTGGTCAAACAAAGTTAACCCGGAACATCTTCTCCAGTACATCATTTCCGTTGAGAGGAGTTTTTGTGACATATTCTTGTTAAAGACCCACACTTCTGACCCATACGTCAGCACCAGCTGAATCATAGCCTGATATATATTTTTCTTTGTTTTGTTAGTTAAAGTTTTATTCCACAGGATCGGATGTAGTGTTTTTATCATGTTTTTCCTTTTCCTATTTTTCTTGGTATATCTTTGTCGTCTCTCCCGTCTTCGCTTAGTGTAATTCCGAGATATTGGTACTGATCAACGTTTTTAATTAATCCGCTTTCTGTTTCCATGTCTTGACCGATGCCTCCTATATTCATGTATTGTGTCTTTTCGGTATTAATCTCTAATCCCCATTTTTTGAATTCGTCTATTAGTTTGTTTATCATGTACGTCATATCTTGTAGGTTTTCGGCAAGAACTACCTGGTCGTCTGCGAAGAGGATTGTGTATATAGGAGTGTCATTTACCCATATGCCCATTGGGCTGCATTTTCTCATCCAATATTTTAAAGCATTACCAAGATATATTTTAAATAGGGTTGGGGAGAGGCAAGAGCCCTGTTTGACACCCTTTGTTTGGGTGCAACCCTTGGAAATTTGGTTTCCAACCTTAATATAAGCTTGGTTATCTCGATATAGCTTTTTCACGGCATTTATATATACTGCATGTATACCTGCGTTTTCCAATGTTGTCCATAGTCTCTGCAGTGGTACGGAGTCAAACGCTTTACGGAGATCTATAAAAGTGGCATGAAGTTCTAGTCCTCTTGCTAATCTCTTTTCCGTTAGATGTTTGAGAGTAAATACATTGTCGACACAAGATCTCCCTGGTCGGAATCCACTTTGTTCTTCGATCTCTGTGGCTTCTTTTTCTATTCTGGCTTTCAGAACTCTTTCATACAATTGTAAACTAACATTACAAATATTAGAAGTTTTTAAATCTAATAAACGTAGTTTATGCATATTCGTCGATATCTCTAAGGCGTTGGACACGATATCTGACGAGATCTTGTTGAAAAAACTTGAGAAGTATGGTCTGGAAGGGCGGGTTTTGACATTACTAAAAAGTTACTTAACTGAAAGCAAACAATTTTTAAAAATTGTTGGTGTCAAAAGTGATCCTGAAGTAATTAATTATGGCGTACCGCAAGGGACCGTTTTAGGCCCTCTACTTTTTACTCTATATTATTGACATGCTCAAACTAAAAACTGTTAGAAACATAATTAGTTTTGCTGATGACACCTATATGGAGAAGGAGAAACAGGACCTTCAATAATCCCTAAATCGGAGACAGAAGATGCCATTGCAGCACTAAAAAACAATAAGTCAGCAGGTCCGGACAATATACTCTGCGAAATATTAAAGATCCTATGTAAATCAGACAAACAGTTCCTTGATAATCTAGTTGTACTTTTTAACAACATATATAATAGCGGTAAAATCCGGGAGAACTGGCTGCAGCCAACATTTATTACAATCCCGAAGAAACCAAATGCCCAGATCTGTGATGACTACGGCTTATAAGCTTGATCAATCATGTCACTAAAGCGTTCACTAAGATCATTCATAGAAGAATATTTGATAAATGTGATCCAAATATTAATAGATCGCAGTTTGGTTTTCGGAAAGTACTTGGAACTAGAGTTGATAAGGACGTGTATTTGTGCTTTGTAGATTTTAGAAAAGCATTTGACAATGTCCATCATGAACAATTGATAGATATTCTGCGAAAGACAGGTATTGACGACAAGGACATTCGAATTGTGGCAAACCCATACTGGGGTCAAACAGCAAGAGCAAAAATTGGCAACGAACTCACTGAAAATGTGCAGATCAAAAGAGGTGTCCATCAGGGTTGTATATTATCGCCACTCCTATTCAATATGCATTCCGAGGAAATATTTAACTAATGTATGAAAATGCAAATGAGGGCATAAAAATAAACGGCGAGTTAACGAACAATATAAGATATGCCGACGACACGGTGATCCTTACCAGTGCCATAGATGAATTACAACAAGTAATGGAAAGAGTTTATTCAGTTAGTGAGGAATACGGCCTGAGCCTCAACTTCAAGAAGACAAAGTGGATACTGATAAGCAAAAAGCAACAACCTGCTCGACAATTACGGATAAGTAACATACTAATTGATCATGTAGAATCTTATGTGTACCTTGGCACCAACGTAAATGCAAAATGGGAACAGACCATAGAAATTAAGGCGAGAATAAAACGAGCTAGAGCAGCATTTAGCAATATAGCCTTATGTGATAACGAGACACTCTACCGCCTGAGCTATTTAGCTCTAATTCTTCGCTAAAACGAAGAAGCAAAATTGAGAAATTTCGTACAAACAGACGAAGAATCAAAGACATCTTGCTTCCATTAACTTAAAATATGTGTTATCAGTATATACCCACCTGGAAATAAATGTATTATCGGAAATAAATCCGATAAAAACTGTTTGAAGTGCTGACAAATTATAATATTAAAATTTGAGGTATACTCCAAAGATAAATCAATAAAAACAAAGAAACGAATTGACGCATAAGATTTTTCAAGTACAAAATTTTGTAATAGATATAAGAATTATAATAAAAGTCGAGGACATATGCAATTTACAAACAATTGAAAATATCTGTAGAAGCAAAGGTGAGGGTCTACTTGCCATGTGACTTGAATTTTAAGAATTATCTTCGGAAAGTGCCTCAGCCTATGCATGTAAAGCTTAGTTATTTTCGCAAATATGTGAATGTTAACTACAACATCGCTTTTGGAACTTCGCTGCTCCACTTGCTTAAGAATAAAGGAGCAGTTGAAAGTAGCAACTTCTTTAGCTGCTCGGCAAAAGTTAGCCACTGAGCATCGTGTTCATATCTTAAAAGCAAAGGCTTTTTCCAAACTCCTTAAAAATCCAAAACCCAACAGAGCTTACTTTTCGTTCGACTGCCAAAAAAACTTAGCACTGCCTGGACTGCCTGATCAAGCAGCATATTTTTCAGCCAGCAAATAAACTATAATAATTTCGCAATTGTTGCTGGAACTTCTACGGATAAATTAAGACCAACAAATTTGTTTCTTACGTGTGGACAGAAATTGACTTTCGAAAAGATTCTAATAAATAGTGTCAGCTTTACAACATGCTCTAAAGAATTTTGATGTTGATGTCAGCATAGAAACAGTACGTTCGTTCGCTGATGGTTGCGGCGGACAAAATAAAAATTCGAATATGTCGGCAATGTTGGCTTATTGGCTTCTAGAAGAATCGCCGAATCATATTAAACAAATTGAATTAATTTTTACGATCGTCGGTCATTCCTTTATTCCGCCTTATCGTATCTTTAGAGCCTTATAGTAAAAGACATTAAAAAAGGCCTATTATTGTGAAAATTAGTGGCTACGACGATTTAATCAGAAAGCATTCCACTGTACGAAAAATCGGTATCGATTGGGATGTGTTTGATTGGAAGACACAACAAAACGAGTTATTAAGCTGCCTAGTGTATGGAACTTTGAATTTAATAAAGCAAAGCGGTTTATCTTTTAGAAAAAAAGGCAACAATGTTTCAGTCCAAGGTGAACCCAATCACCGAAATGACGTTGAAAAAGCTAAACGCGTTTGTAAGAAAAAATTTTCTCTTTCTTCAATGGCTCCTAAGAAATGACCACTGGGAAAAAAACTAAAGGGGGATAAAGGAACTATTATTGGTCTTCTTTCCAAACACTATGGATGAAATTGGAGAAGCCTTCCTGAACTAAATTTTTACAAAGAGCACTTGAAGACAGATTCTACGTTACCAGAAAAAACCGCTAATGGTTTGGAAAATTGCCAAAATGCAGAAAATGACTATTTTTTCGTTTGAGCATGATCTATTGATATTTCTTTTGTTTTTTTTTTAACATTTTCTTTATATGACTAAAATGTGAAAGTTTTATTTTCATGAATAAATCCCTTATGTTTTTTATTGAACTATATACGGTTTGTTATTATTTTATATATTTATTTGCAAAACTGGTTGTTTGCAATAAACATTTTTTTCTCTAAAAAATCTGTAAAAATTTTAGGCTAGAAACTTCTAATTTCTATTGCTTAAATCATTAAGCAACATTAATAAAACTCTTTTCGTTGTCAGCTAAAAACTACTCGGCCGTTAATCGTTTTTCTCGATTTCCCAAAAAATGACTTTCGAGCAAAGAACAAGTTTTGCAAATAATGGCTTCATACAGGGTATCCTATTAAAAAAATTTTCTTTCTGCTTTACCACATAGTTATCACTATGTATCATAGAAATCAATCTGTAGATTTTTATATATTATCTAACCCTATAGAATATCGCTATCTACATTTTTTCTAAATAAATTTTTTGGATATTTTGTATCATAATTGAATTATTGACCAATGATGCACTACAAACTCACCCTGTGCATATACAAAAAATAGAGGTTGAAAACTAAGAAAAATCAAAATACAAAAAAGATAAAAATATTTTATAGTTATAAAGCAATAAAGTCTGCAAAAACGTTATAATTTTGTAGAAAATTGGCTAAAGATTCTTTAGATTGTCTCATTTGCTTTTTACATCACATCTTACTTCCTAGACAATAATTATTATTTACGTCCTAAGGTATGAATTGTAATTAATAACTGACTTTTTTGCTCTAACTACAAACATTAAGCTACTTAGAAATCGCCTAAACAAAATAATACTAAAACAAATTTTAAAGTAACTTACTTGGCATTTCGGGAAAATTTTGTTTCTTGATCCATTCTTGAAGATCTTTTAGAATTTCACAGACATCGGACTCAGACTTTCCCCAATATTTTCGAACTCCTTCTTTATTTATTAGTAACAACGGTTGTGGATCCAGATTCTCGGCGTTTATTATTTTGGACTTCATGATTTAGAATTAAAGGTCGTGAAATCAAGGTTATGATTCAATTGGTTAAGTACAATTTAATGCAACGAATTTTTGCGCGGTATATCGTACAATTTCTGTTGAACTGGGTGACCGTGTTTCGAACAAAATCTTTGAAGTACTTCTTAAGACACGGCACAGAGATTGAAAACGAAATCAAGTATAATGTGCGCGATAAAAAAATTGTTACTGGCTTTTATTCTCTATCAACACTTTCTTTTTATCTGCAAGTTAGATACGGGAATTAAACTTATATATTATACTAATAATATAATCATTTTAATAATATCAGATAAGTTGTTTACTAATTTCCTGTCAAAATAATAAATCTTTTCGTATGAATATTTTGCTTAAAGTTCGGTTAATTATAGTGTTATTGAAGTTAGTGGGGTTTTGAATAATACATTAGGAAAAAAACTCATTTAAATTTATAAACAAATTAGAGGATTAAAAAATAAACATGATTAATAAATATTATTACTTAGTTTTATTAAAACAATAATTAATTTTCAAGAAAAGTAGGTTTTTTTTATTTAGCTTCACATTTCTCGGCAGCGTAGGTCATTGACACAGATAAGGGACAAGGAAGGAGCCTCCACGAGATCAATAGTGCCATATCAACTACAAAGTAAACACTATTGACGGCGTCCCCTGAAAACATCTACTAGTAGACGGCTCATTCTTCCAACACCGGACCAAACCAAATCATATGGTAAACATAAAGCCACAACGGTTCTTCTCAGAGCCAACACTGACATAGTTAATAACCAGTGAGATCGGAAAATGTACAATAACCTCGGTATACAAGCCCCCAAAACAGCCTTTTATATTTTCACCCCCAACTAACTTTCACAACAATCACAACTCAATCAGCTGGTAGTGGGAGACTTTAACAGTCACAGTTTACCCTGGCGCTATGCAGATTCGGATGCAAATGGAGACGCAGTAGAATCTTGGGCCGAAACGAATGGCCTCACGTTAATCCATGATCCTAAGCTTCTACCATCAGTTCAGAGCAAAGTTTGGAAAAGAGGATATATCCCGGATATCTGTTTTTAAAGTAACAACTTCGAAGACCGATGTACCAAATTATTATGTGGTCGCATACCAAAAACAAAAAGCATAGACTAATTGATATAAACATCTTTCCAATTGTCAGACCACAAGCTATTCCATTTAGAAGAAGATTTAACTTAAAAACTGCAAACTGACAAAAGTATGCAGACATGCTAGATTCTAAGCTGCTACGTCTTGAACTAAAAGTAGAAAACTACGAAAACTTTGTAGAGATACTCAAAAATGTGTCTAGAAAAGCCATCCCTAGAGGATGTAAACTATAATATGTTCCCAGGATGTCCAACGAGTCCAAAGAACTAATGAGAACATACGAAACCCTCTATTTCACTGACCCTTTTAGCTAAGAAACGGTTGACTGCGGAGCAGTACTACTTCAATAGCTAATGACTACGGAGCAGTACTACTTCAATAGCTAAGTCAAGCCAGACGAGAAAAGTAGATTAAGACCCTGGAAAAAATGGACATGACACACCGTAGCAAAATAGCATGAAAACCTTGTATAAAAACTTAGAGGTGATCCAAAAGAACATAAATCACCTTGCAAGGTTACAGCAAACCAAGTCGCTGCTTAACTACTTATAAATGGAAGACCTACGAACCGATATAAAAACACAAACACTAGGAGAAGATTGGATTCGGAAACAAATCACCTAGGAATTCTTTTTACGCTAAAAGAATTCCACGACGGTATGAACAGGTTAACAAACAGGAAAGCTGGTGTGGATGATATATGCAGTGAACAAATAAAACATCTAGGCCAAGGAGCAAAAAACTGGATCTTGTAATTTTATAACACATGCTGCAAAACTTGCGAAATTTTAAAATCATGGAGGAAATCTAAAGTAATTAAAATTCCTGTTAAAACCAGGAAAGGACCCAGAAAACCCCAGTAGCTACAGACCTAGTCCTCTGTTGTGTCATTTTTTCAAACTATACGAGAGACTTATACTCACCAGAATAGAAAAAAATGTTGACAAGCACCTCATTCCACAACAAGGAGGATTCAGACCTGGCAAATATTGCACCGGTCAAGTTCTCGCACTAACAGAACACATTGAAGAGGGCTTTGAAGAAAAACTTATAACGGGGGTTGCTTTAGTAGATTTGATAGCAGCCTATGACACAGTAAGGCACAAAACATTGCTCTGCAAATTATACGACACTCTCAATGACGACCATCTGGGTAAGATGGTGGTCTAGGTAAGATTAAGAGACTGAAAAACAGACGTTTTTTCGTTATGCCGGAGGATAAAGTAAGTAGGTGGAGAGTTCAAAAAAATGGCCTGCTACAGGGAAGTGTTTTAGCACCAATGCTTTTCAATATATACACAAACGACCAACCTTAGACGACCGAACCCAAGCACTTCCTCTATGCTGTCGATCTTGCAATATGTACTCAAGGATATAGTTTTGAAGAAGTGGAGAAGGAACTCGAAACTACCTTAAAAACAATGACAGCGTACTACCTGCAGAATTCCCTGAGACTCAAACCCACTACAACCCAAGTCTACGCTTTCCACTTTCGCGCAAAGGAAGCCAAGCGAAAACTCCAAATTACACGGAATGGTAATACATTAGAACACACAAACCAACACATATATCTTGGAGTAACTCTGCACCGGTCCCTCACCTACACACAACATTGCATGAAAACGAGAGAAAAATTAACAACAAACTAATAGCATACTCATAAAGCTAACGGGAAATAAATGGAGTGCACGTCCTGGCGTTTTAAGAACAACGGCACAGGCACTGTGTTTCTCAACTGCTGAATATGCGTGTTCTGTTTGGGGCAGAGCTGCCCACACCTTACAAGTTGATACTGTGCTAAATAAGACATGCAGGATAGTAACGGGGTGCATGAAACCAACGCCACTCTCAAATCTATATAAAGCAGTATGTTTCGCAGAACCCTCAACGCGCCGAGGCGTTGCAGATCACAAAGAGAAAATTAAACAGTTTGCGGACTAGCGGCATGCCCTATACAAAGCTCGAACACCACGAAAGCGACTAAAATCTAGGAAAATCTTTCTTGGAACAGTGCAGAATGAACCGCTTGAGTATTTTCTTCTACCCCTGGTTCAATGGACCGGCCAGTCCCTAGACTTTAAAACGTGGCAAACTATGAATAGGATAAGAACGGGGGTTGCTATAGTAAAATCAAACATGGTAAAATGGGAAAAAATTGACCAAGATGATGTGAACTGTGACTGTGGAGAAGCACAGAATATGGAACATCTGGAATCTGGAACATGCAGAAATTGTCCTCATCAATGTACCCTCGAAGGTTTGTGGGTCGCCAACAGAGATGGAACCGACGTAGCCCGATACTGGGCCGAAATTTTATCAATAACATGTCAGGACACGATAAAGTAATTGACACAGGTGCAATTTTATTACATTATATAACAAGAATATACAGCAACATTAAAATCGATAAAGAAATGCATTAAGTATTGGTACAATTATTAATTATCGAATTCTAAACTACGTTTCTTCTTCTAAAGTTTCTGGTAAAGCTTGGTTTCATAGAGGAAATTAATAAGGTTTTGGAATTGATCTGGCGAGCTGAGAATATTTTGTAAGTTTCGACTCAAAAGACTATTTTTTCTGTTGTTGTTGAAATAAGGACAGTCTACGAGAATATATTTAACAGATAGAATATTATCACAGTGTGTACATGTAGGTGGGTCTTGGGAAGTCATTAAATATTTATGAGTTAGTCTTGTATGGCCGATTCTAAGTTGGCAAATTAAGATTTTGTTTTGTCGTGTCATGGAAGGAAACTCAAGCCTTTTAACGGTGCGATGGATATCACGAAATTTGGAAGGGATTTTGTTCCAGTGATCTTGCCAAGACATGTGGATGATATTTTTAAAATAGGACTGTAAATATGTGTGTAATTGTATATTTTCAGTTTTCCTATTAGAAGATGCGGCATGTTTTGCAAAGAGGTCGGCTAGTTCGTTACCAGGGATTCTTACATAAGACGGCATATAGATCATGGTTGTGGATGCTTCCAGTGAGATTAAACTATTAAAAGAGATTTGAAAAGCTTAAACCAAAAGATGTGTCATGTACATACTTTTGAGAGAGTAGATAAACGATAAACGATGATAAGGAGAAAAATAGTATACCAACAGAAGAAGAAGTTGTCAAGGCAATAAAAAGGTTAAAAAACAACAAATCCCCTGGAGAAGATGGTATACCCCCTGAGCTGTTCAAGTGTGGAGCAAACGTCCTAAAAAAATACATAATAGAACTTGTTGCATCCATTTGGAGAGAAGGAAAACTCCCAGATAGTTGGAATGTAGGTATTTTAATACCTGTTCACAAGAAAGGGGATCCACATGTGACAACTATCGAGGCATTACCCTCCTAAATACGGCTTACAAAGTACTGGCTTATATACTTTATGATCGATTACTAGTATATACAGAAGAAAAAATAGGCAAATACCAATGTGGATTTCGAAAAGAAAGGTCAACAATTGATCAGATTTTCCTTCTCAGACAAACCTTAAAAAAGACATATGAATATGGAATTATTACCCATCACCTCTTCATAGATTTTAAAAGTGCCTATGACAGTGTAGACAGAAGAGCACTTTATAAAGCCATGGCAGAACTAGATATTCCGTCGCATCTAATAACATTGGTAAAGGCAACTCTTTCAAAAGTTGAGTGGAAAGTCAAGGTACAAAACAGAGTGTCAAGGTCTTTTCAAACACATACTGGATTACACCAGGGAGACAGTTTATCGTGTCTATTGTTTAACATCGCGCTAGAAAGAGCCATAGAGAAATCGGGCATAACAACCAGAGGTACGATCATCAATAAAAGTGTGCAGATATTGGCTTGCACAGATGACATTGATATAGTAACACGGACAAAACGAGAGCTGATACAGGCTTTTGAAACATTTGAAAAAGCCGCGAAGACAATGAGACTGCAGGTTAACGTATCCAAAACAAAATACATGAAGGTCACGAACAGCACACAAATAGCGGCACCACAAGATCTGGTGACAGATGCACACACGGTCGAAGGGGTCTCGGAGTTTGTATATCTTGGAACACAACTAAATAACAGCAGCCTAGTAACCGTAGAACTTAGGAGAAGAATATACCTTTCGAACAGAGCTTACTTTGGACTAAAGCAGTTCTTAACATCACACATGTCACAGAGCAGAAAACCCAAGATACTAATATATCGACCCCTGCAAAGAATAACGTTGTAACCAGCATTTATAATATTCTTCAGAAATGATAAAAAAATGAAAAATTTCTTGGATTTCTTTTTTTATATGTATGTGACATTTTTTCACTGTAAGAAGTAAGTAGTTATACAAATGTTGAAGTCATCTTTTAGAATAAGGTCTAGTTTTTTTATTAGAGAATAGGTCTTTGAACTGTGGCAGTTACAGTTTTTGATATAAATATAAAGTTTCGAAATATGAATTTCGAATTCTTGCTCGTTGTGGCTTAAGGAATAATAACAGTAGATAGTTTTTATAATGCAAATTTAATTACAAACTAAATATAAATTCGAATTAAATTTAAAATGAACATATTTATTTTATGTCTAGTCTTCCATATCGCTGTCTTGATTAATGTTTTTGCAATCAACTGGAAGATTTTAAAAATAATCGTGGTAAGTGACAGGAATGTGCACTGGCTTCGACATAAACTCTGCAGATTATCATATTTTGCTTTTGTTATCCCTAGATAAGATGAATATGCAAGATGTAGATTCTTAAAAAGATCTGTCTATTTCTCTCTACCATTCTCACAATAAGGCCGCGAAATATTGACACACGAAGTGTAGTATCTACCTGCATAATTTTTGGAACTTAGCAGCCAATGCGGCAAATAAATATGTAACAACGGTGTAGTTTTTGACATATGAGAATTATTTTGATACACTATGGTACGATACAGTATTTTTCGCCAAAATTTCAACGTCGTATCTGTAGTTACTCTGTTATTCTACAAATAATTCATTTTTTTTATATTTACGGTATTATTCCATTCTTAATCTTTCTTATTAATGCAGTTACAGCCACACCGACCATGTTGGCAGATAGAGCGTAAAAAGTTATTCAAGAAGAACACTGTAACTCAAAATCGCCGAAAATGTTAGTTACAACGTTATTCTATGCAGGGGTCGATATGAAACTCTTATTAAACCTGTCCTGACATATGCGCCAGAGATATGGACTATGATAAAAAGCGACGAAGAACTGTTAGGCTGCTTTGAAAGAAGAATACTTAGACACATATATGGAGTAGTACAAGAAAGCGGGATACGGCTCAGGCGCTACAATTTTTAGTTGTATCAATGCTATAAAAAATGCAACATCGTCCGGTCTATTAAAATTAATAGACTAAGGTGGCTAGGACACATTGAAAGAATGGACACTGGAGACCCCTAAAGACAGATATTCTATCAAGAGCCAGTAGGAGCCAGGAAGAGAGGCAGGCCAAGATCTAGATTCGAAGTCGAAGATGACTTGAGGAATGTAGGGGTCAGAAATTGGAAAGCCAGGGCGAAAGATAGGAGGGAATGGAGACTAATTTTTGAGCAGGCGAAGACCCACCCAGGGTTGTAGAACCAAAGATGATGGTGATACACTGAATATAAACTTTCACATATCAATCGATCTAAAACGTTTCATGATGATTATGAGTAATTCCGGAAATACTCCAGTTGATAGAATTAAATTAATAAGATGAGTGAATGGTGTTAAAACTATTTGGTAAGTTTCTTTAAACATTTTGCTATTAATTTCGTGAAAGTACCTACAATTAGAATTACTAAGAAACTTTATTATTTGAGAGACTTCTTCTTCCACACCGGGACGAAAAAAAATGACTTGCTCGGAGAAGGATAATTTCTATAATTGAAGAGGACATCGACATTAATTGTGGGAAGAGATGTAGTTATGTTCTCTGCAATTGTAGTAAAAAATTAATTTATTTCGTCTGGAGGTAGATCAGGTTGGATCGAACTGGACCTTGTGTTGTTTCTTTCGAAATTTACTATTTTTCATCAGTTTCTAGGTTTATTATTGGAATTATTAATTAAATCACAGTAAGCTGACTTTTTAGCATTTTGTAATTGCCGATTATATTCAAATTTTTGTTGTTTATATACTTTGAACAAATCGAGATCCTTAGTGGCATCTGCAATTTATTTATTAAGAGAAATATTAGATCTGTTAGACCTTTATTTATTCTTAAACCATTGCACGGGTGTTTTTTCAGCAGTTTGTCGTACTTTTTTTAGTGGAAACTACTTTAGTATTAAGTTGTTATAAGTTTGGGTTTTATCGTGTATATCTAGATCACTATGGTGTAGTAAATATATGTTACATAGGTTAATATTCTTATGAAAAGTTATAGATACTGCACGAGATCAAGATTAGTACCTACTCAGTGCGATCGGTTTAGCTTCCAAATCAGCTCTTATAAAATAGCTACTCCACCACTAACTTGCTGGACGATTCCATTTCCATATTTTTTTCTATTTTTTAAATTTATGCTGGTTTATTTAAAATCGGTTTTTTTATTTTTGGGATATTTTTTATATCTATAAACATCGATTTGAGCATTTTAATTTAAAAAATATATCATTAACCTCAAATACAAAAAAAAACTAAAAACCATTCACAACAATTTTTATCAAAATAGTTCATATAATAAAGTAGTTTTTAGGACACCTATTCCCATTCTTCTTTTTCATATGTCTCCATTCCTACTTGATCTAAAAAGTCAAATCTTTTTTGATATTTTTTGACGTGTTCTTTCCATAGGTCTGAAAAAAAGGTTTTGTTATAAGTATAACTAGTTGTGAGTTTTACAGATTCTTTTAAATGTATATATATATATATATATATATATATATATATATATATATATATATATATATATATATATATATATATATGTATAGTGTCTTTTCAAACCCATCTGAATGGTATACATTGTAGTATCCAGTTTACGATGGCGTTGGAAACTGATTCATTCCTACCATTTCTCAACGTTTTCATAGGGAAAAACCAATCCCAAGGTTTTGATCACTCTGTTTATCGAAAAACCTCCTATACTAATCGTTACTTGCGTGCTAACTCCTCATTTTCTACCTTCACAAATTAATTCAGTCATTCATATCCTTATCTCTAGATCAATACACCTTTACGATGATGAAAGTAGACCCCCTGAGCTCTCTAGTTTGAAACAAGCCTCATTCAAAATGGTTACCACAAAAATTACATCAATAAGAGCATCCACATACATCAATCTTCCACTCAATTTCAACCCAAAGACTCAGACCCTGATCATACCAAAGCTTTTATTTCATACATCAAAAGTGTCAATGACAAAAACGATAAAATCCGTAAATCAAGAAGAATAACGACAATATTTATCATCCAACAAAAACTTTCATCCCTTGTCCGATCAATCAAAGACAACATTCCAAAGAGAATTTATGAACATTCCATTTCTGTTCTCAATTCCAACTCAATTTCAGCTCTGGATAAACACCATCTTCATGCAGGTCAAAAAATGTATTTTTAAAACTCCAGGACCATAGCCCTCATCTGCTTCTATAAATTAAGAATTATGCGAAAAGCCATAGAAATTGGAAAAAGGCCAAAGTTTCTCAATAGAACTGCTGGCAGCATCCGGTTGCCTTCGACATGGAGAGCTCTTATAAATAAAATATCATCCGCTTCACCCTTCAATCAAAATCTCGCCATCAGAAATGTTCGCGCCAACTCTCAACCAAATCAAGTCACGATCCGCTATTCCCAGTAGCAGTAGTGCAGTGATTAGTGATCACTGTAGTAGTGTCTAGGAAGCCTGAATCCGGAAGCCCTGAAGAAGACATCAGAGAGCATGTCGTAAGCTTGGCGTAGTAATAATCGATCCGGTTCAAACCGAAAGTCTGGTTTGTTAGCTTTAGGTTTAATTGTAACCGCGGAAATATTTCTGAACAAAGGCAAAGCTTCTTACAATTTGTATTCTTCTTCTTCTTAGAGTGCCGTCTCCCTACGGAGGTTGGCAATCATAATGGCTATTTTTATTTTAGAACTTGCTGCTCTAAACAAATCAATCGATCTGCATTGGTACCAATCACGTAGATTCTTTAACCATGAGTTCTGCCTTCGGCAACAGATCTTCTTCCTTGAATCTTTCCCTGTATTATCAGTCTCAAAATTTCATATTTTGGTCCCCTCATCACGTATTCCTAGGTATTCCAGTTTTCTGGTTTGTATAGTGGTGATTAGTTCTGTTTCTTTACCAACCCTCCCCAGTACTTCTTTATTTGTAATTCTATCAGTCCATGATATTTTCAATACTCTGCGGTATAACCAGAGTTCGAAGGCCTCGATTCTATTTAAATTACATTTTTTTAATGTCCAAGTCTCAGCTCCATATAATAATATTGAAAATATATAACAGCGAATGGTACGTAGTCTGATCTCCAAATTTAGATTTTTGCACGTTAGGAGTGGCTTCATTCGTATAAATGCTGATCTGGCAATCTCTATTCGTCTGTTTATTTCTACAGTATGACCATTGGTTTCATTGATCAAAGTTCCCAAATACTGATATTTTTCTACTTGTTCTATCACGTTACCATTTATTGTCAGTAGGTGATGTATATTTTGTGGCCTTTTTGTAATTAGGATGTACTTCGTTTTTTTAGCGTTTATAGTAATTCCCATCTCAGCACTATTTATACTCAAGCTTTCGATAAGATGTTGTAGATCCTCTATACTCGTTGCTATGATCACAGTGTCGTCTGCATATCTTAAATTATTAATTAATTTTCCGTTAACGGTGACTCCCGCTTCGATATTATTGAGCGTGTTTTGGAAAATTTCTTCAGAATATAAGTTAAACAAAAGTGGTGATAACACACATCCCTGTCTAACTCCTCTACAGATCTTCATTTCTTCTGAGTGTTGCCCATCAATTTGAACTATGGCACTTTGGTTCCAATATAATGTTTGCACTATATTTATGATTTTACTGTCAATGCGCTTGTTCATAAGTATTGATATTAGTTTTTCATGTCTTACTTTATCGAAAGCTTTTTCGTAGTCAACGAAGTACAAGTGTAGATCAACATTCACATCCCGACATCGCTGAATTAATATGTTGATGGCAAATAGTCCTTCTCGAGTACCCACAATTTGTATACATAATTTAATTATTATGTGATCTTCTTCTTTTTTTTATGTTACCTCCATGACCTATTTAACTGGATTATATTTTCGATCCCTATACAACAACCCCCTGCTATCATTTTGATGGTTCCTTCCTCGTTTTCTCCTTAAGTTCTATATCCTCAATGTAGTTGAATATTCTTACTCTCGCTATTATTTGGTCCATGACCTCCATTGCCCAACATTTAACCCTGTATCTGGCAATATTTCTTTACTTTGTCTTGGGTAGTTTATTTTAGTGTGATATAGATACAAGAAGCATTAAGTTCTTCTAATAAATAATCTAAGCAACAACCCTAGTTTTGAAAAAAAATTTCTTTCCTTTAAACCTTTTTACTGAGTGACTAAGACTTATTAGATCAAACACTTTTATTAAATCGACAAATCCTGTGATGTAGGGGATGTTGAATTTAACGGCGTCATGGGAATTATGTTGTTAAATGATAATCTAGTTTTTTGGGTTTTCTGCTCCTTTTTATAAAAATCAATGTACTTTTTTTTCATTCTCTTGATATCTTTCATCCCTAAATTATTTAATTAAACATTTTTGTCCTTTTATTATTTACAAATTCGTTTTTCTTGTGTAATTTGTTTGTAAGTGAATGTCTTTTCCGTATGCTTTCAGATTTGTCAGCTACTGTGTTACTTTTTGCCACTTTGCCACTGTGTTAGATATGATAATGGACAATTTTTAATGTTTAATAACTTATACTTTGATTTTTCTATATCATTAAATTACGAATTTCTTTTTCCTTTCAATCCTTATGATATTTTGACCTTCTGGTTCCACTTCCTACGAAGCAATCACAAGAGTGATTCGTCCAAAAAAAATAGACCAAACAAACTGCAGTTGGACACTGCATGCTGAGAAGCCATGTGATTATATTATCTTTTGTGGAATCTGGTCAGAGATAAGCTGATAACTAGCCTCAACAACGACAGGCATTATTTTCTGGCATAAAATTTATTGGCAAAGTCAGAGATAGAGTGCCACAGGCTCTGACTATTGTTACAGAATGGACTTGAAATATGGGGCTGAACATAAGCTCCCAGAAATCAAAAATTGTTAAACCAAAAGGGGGAATTTAGAAGGATTAGGTCCTCCAAGATGAAATGGTACATATATAAAAAAATGAGCTCTTACACAAGATCATATGACAGAATTTATTTTTCTTGCATTCAGCATCTCCTGTGGAGGTTGCTGTTCAACATGGCTATTTGCACTTTCAAAACTGCTGCACTAAATAATTTAACCAAAGTTATTCTAAGCCATGTATGAAGGTTTTACAGCCAAGAAATTCTTCTACGTCTCAAGGATCTTCGTCTAACGATCTTTTCTTGCAGTATAAGTTGTATGAAATTATATCTTATTCCTCTAGAGACGTAAATTTTGAAAAAATCAAAGAAGTTTAGATTTAATATTCAGTCTCTCCGGCAATGATTAATTTGTGACCCTATCTGTCCATGAGACTCTGATATTGAGCCTGTAGACCCACATTTCAAAGTCCTTTATATTTCCAAGGAGTTCCCAGCTTTTCACACCATATAGGGTATGGAAAACACCTAAGATCTAACCATTATAACTGTTAAGAGTCAGAATCATAGGAAGATATGGTGCTGTCAGCGGTTTTTTTCATTTTGACGAACGCAGCTCATGCTTATTCAAGCACGAATTAGTTTCATTATTGAACTTCAATAATTAATATGTAATTCATCAATAAGAGCTTCAAACTTAAAATATATAATATAGACTTACCAATTATTTCATCCAGTGATTTCTCGTTTCCACCGTAATCGCTTGGAAGTAATTCTTTTGGAACATGTTCGTACAAGCTATCTATGTTTTTATGTATTAATATCTAAAAAATATTAGTTTGTGAATATGTACACTCTTGTAATAAATTAAAATTCCAACTAAAATATTCCAATCTTTTGCCCAATAAGTAACGGATCAATAAATACGAAAACCCATAAAAACATGCTATCTGTGTGAGAAATTCGTGACTTTGAATATTGATGACAACGTCTAGCAGAGGTAACACCAACTGTCATTAGTCAGCTTAGTAAAATAAGTAAATAGAAAAAGATGATTTTGATATATCCAAGATATTAAACTTATTTAACATCATCGGCATTATGTCGTCTAATTGAATACTTAAGTATGTTATCTGCAATTAAACCCAACCACTGTTTAGTTTTGCGGTTAGTAGTGCAAATACTCCAAAGTTCACTTAAGATGGACCAAAAAGTCCCAAAACATTCTGAATTTTTATTATAATCCATTTGGAGTTTTAACTTAATTTTTTAATCAAATATTATACTTTTTTAATCATATATTATCACTTACAACAGAAGTTGTTACTTCGATGTAAGAGTTTTTTGAACTATGCTAGCTTTAGAGAACAACTTTAAACTATAAATTTTACAATATTTTAAACTTACCCTATCTACCATTTTTTTCTTTAGAAATCTTTTCGCAACATTAATTAACACGCTGACGTAGGATGGAGCTTCAATTACATGTATTTGTTTTATACGATTTTTTGCCAATTTCTAAAAAGAAATATGTTTTAAAATACTTTGGTAACAAACATTGAAACATATATTTTATTTTTAATATTCATAATATTTTTAATATAGTATGATCTTATTTAGTTATACAGGGTGTCCAGAAACTCTGCTGGCAAATGAAGACCCAAAATGAGGTTCCTCAGTTAATGTTAAGATAATTTAACCCAATTCACCTAGTCCGCAAATACTTCCTAAGGGAGCTAGAACTCTTTGAAGATGGCGCCTTGTAAATAGTTTTTTTTAATACCTCCATAAAGCTTCTATTTAGAAAAACGAAAACTGAACCGATAATTTATCGTCCAGAGTTGAATCGATTCCATACATACATAATCCGATATTCTAATACCGGTCATAGGCGTCTGTTTTGGGTAGGTCAACGGTTATTTTAAGGGGGTCAAAGAATTCAAATACCTTGGAGCAACAATTACCAGTGAAAACACAGGAGAACGGGAGGTTGAAATACGAATACTGGCGGGGAATAAATCATTATTTGCCATTCAACATCTAATGACGTCAAAGCTTCTATCAAGGCGTGCCAAAATCCAAATGTACAAAACCATAATACGACCAGCAGTGACATATGGAAGTGAAACATGGACATTGAGAAAGAAAGAAATCAATATGCTATTAGTATGGGAACGCAAAAACCTGCGAATTATATATGGTCCTTGCAGGGACAGCGTGACAAATGAATGGAGGAGCAGATACTACAATGAAATAGAGACTCTCTTCGGGAAAGGAAACATCGTAAGATATATAAAAGCCAATAGATTAAGATGGGCAGGCCACGTGGTACGGAGTGATGACGACAGACTGATTAGCAATGTGTTTTGGGAAAGACCAGATGGTAGAAGATCGACAGGAAGGCCTAGAAAAAGGTGGAAAGACGCAGTCAGGGAAGACCTGGAGAAGATGGAAGTAAGGCCATGAGAAATAATAGCACAGGATTGGAATCAATGGAAGGCAATAGTAAACGGGGCAAAAACTTACGAAGAATTGTAAAGGCCAATGATGATGATGAACGGTTATTTTAACCCATAACTTTTTTGTCTTTATTTTTAGGCATTCGTGATACTAAATTATTAAATTTTTAGGTATTCTAGTACTAAAAGGTACTCTTATTTTAAGTCTGTAGGATATACAGTTTTCTAGAAACATCGATTTGAAAAATTTTCGTTTTTACGTCATGAAAGTCAAATTATTATTTATTATTTTTGCACTAGTTGGCTTTGAACTTTCAATAGAAATATAACCTACGTTTTTTATTGTCAAAGTTTCGATTGGTGGCATGTCGGTTTTTGCTGAGCCACGCCAGGGTGCCCTGAAAATGGCTACCATTCAGAATATGGTGACAAAACTCTAAGATCTCGTATTTTAGACCGCTGACTGATGGTGCGTGAAATAGCTGAGACAGTAGGCATCTCAAAAGACCACGTGTCATATCCTGCATAGACTTTTGGACTTAAGAAATTGGTTCGCGTGATGGGTGCCGCGTCTGCGCACTCCGGACAACAAGCGCAACTGTGAGAATACTTCAGAGCAGTGTTTCACTATATTTAAGCGTAATCCGAAGAATTTTTTACGTCGTTTTCTAACCGTTTATGAAACGTAGATCCACTGGTATACACCAGAGATCAAAGAACAGTCGAAACAGTGGATGGCGCCCAGCGACATGTTCGGAAACCATTTTCTGGGATTCTCAAGAGGTGATCTACATCAACTACCTGGAGAAGGGCAAAATGGTCACTGGACCCTACTACGCTTTATTATTAGGACGATTAGACGAAGAATTGCAGAAAAAATGACCCCGTTTGGCAAAGAAAAAAGTATTTTTTCACCATTACAACGTATTAGCTCATACCTGTAATGTTTTATTGAGACAACTATTGTTAGTTTAATCTTTATTATTGTTAAGGCTTCTACATGTTTTTTTACAATGTCTGTTGTCTAGTGACAAGTGGCAGACATAACACTGACAGGTGAACCAACTCATGTTCACCTGTCAGTTCAAGGTTGGTTCACACTAAGCTGTTTATGTTACAATACTTCCGCCTTCGATATGGCTAAATTGGTCTAAATGGGCTGCGAACTGTTGCCCCATCCACCGTATTCTCCAGATTTGGCCCCATGTGACTTGTTTGTTTCCAAACTTGAAAAGGGCACTTGCCGGGCAGAAATTTGAGTAGAATGAGGAGGTCATCGTCGTCACGAAAGCCTACTTTGCAGACCTCGAGAAAACGTATTTAGACGGTTTTAAAGAAGATGCAGCATCGCTAAGTCAAGTGTATCGAGCTATAAAGAGACTATGTTGACAAATAAATCTCCACATTTCCAAAATTTTCGTTTTGTTAACTAAGTACTTATCGGATTGCCATAGTAGTCTTTCCAAGCTCTTAGCTTTTCCTCTGTGTGTCGAATGTTATGTTTCCTTTTGCAACGACCAATGTATTGTGTTTAATATGTAACCGTTTCGTTAATCCTTATACTTTCTTATGTTCATTAAAGCTTCCATATTTGTTTTCAGCTACAATCTTTTTTGAACAGATTTCTTTCCGCTGATCTTTTTGCTTGTGTGTCATTATTTTTATGATTTCTTTTTTCATCTATCAGACATAAGATCTTATTTGCCATCAATTATTTCAACTTAACTTTAAGTAACTAAGATTTTATCTGTCTATACAGAAGTAACGCCGAGTCTAAGCAAGGACCGGTTATTTCTACATAGACTATGAACTCATTATATTGCAAAAAAAATAAAAATACATAAGAAAAATATTTTTCAGAAAGAAAAAAGTCAATCTAAAGATATTTTAAAACAAAAAAAAAGCGACAAAGAAGCTTTCAAGAAACCCATGTGGCGAAAGATTCAATATCTAGTATTCAACGACTGATTCTGAAAGTAAAAATATAGATGAAACGCATCGTAAGAAGAAATAGAACCATCTCATAAATATGACCAGTCATATGAGCGTTTAATCAATAATCAATCGTTTTGAGAACTATTTCCGAAGTGAAAATCGAAATTTATCAAAATAAACTTATTGTAAAGTAAAACTGTGATTACAAAAATCGTAAAATAGTTTCGAAACACAATTCAGATTTCTGCTTTATAATCTGAGCCTTCTAAAAATTGCAAGGCAAATAGACGTTGATAAAAGATGTTAAAAGACACATGGGGAATCTAAAATTTGCATTCCACGACATGTCTTTTACAACTAGGCAGAAATCCTTAGCGAATTGTGCTTCTAGTACTCACACAGAGTAAATCCGAATAAAATGAGAAAAGGCTTTTTTTTGTAATTAGATGTCGCTATTGCGTCCGTATTGAAGCTATGTTATTGTTGCTTCTTAAAAGGCAGAAAATATTGATTTTTCACGTTGAGAACCCCTATGAATAGCTCTTCTGACGAGACCTATTAGGTCGAAATACGTATCAAGAGATACATAGGATTTGTTTGCGTGAAATCAAATATTTGCTGCCTTTTCTCATAAAACTGTGATTATTCCCAATAAAAATATTTACTTAATTAGTTTTAACAAAATAACTGAAGTACCAATATTAAACAAAAAACTTACGTCTAATATAGTTGCCATCTTTAACAGCCATGGCGTCATTTTAAAAACATGACTCCACAATAATTGTTTATAATCTACTATGATAATCTCACTCAGACACAAATCTTCGCATATTCGTATTTCATATATGTTTAACATAAGTGCGAAATATTTCCAAGCTACAAAATTTGAGCAATTTTGATTTACTTTTACTATTGACAGTCTGTAAAGATCCTCGAGTGGATTCGGTAATGGACAGAGTACTCTGGAAATAAAACAAAAAAGTTAAAAAAAAGAATCATCAGTTCAAACTGTTTAAGTCAATGTGCATTCATAGTTAAGGTGTCGAAGTCTGCATTCATTGTATAGTTGAAATAATAGTTATTTGTTATCCCAGTCAAAGGTGGATAAAGAGTGTGCAAGATGAGAAACAGAATAATGTTTAAATTATTTTATTTATTTGTATGTACTTTAGTATTCAGTGGTGCTGTTACTCTTAATCAAATTATCAACATTGTGTTGTGGTAAGTTGTTCATTTCTTCAAGAGCAGCTTTAACTAGATGCGTGGTGTTCTGTGGATTATCCCGGTGAGCTCTAATTCTTCTTTTAAGCATATCCCACAAATGTTATATAGGGTTAAGTTCCGGTGAACAACGCGGCCACTCCTGAACAGTGATATCTCCTCTTTCAAAGAAATATGTAGTCACTTCGCTGGTATGTGAAGGTGCATTATCATGCATGCCAATTTAATTTCCTCCCAAATCGACATAGCTCTGTCCTTTTGAATTTCTTTTAATGAAAATAAATAGAGTTTTTTTATCGATCATAATGCCTTCCTAGAACATGATACTTCCTGCTGCATACCTGTGAATAGACCTTTCAGTTTCCATTCTTGTTTATCTTTTCCCTATGTACACGACTTCGTAGGTTATTTTATTTTACACAAATCCTGGTTTCGTTTGAAATAACAAATTTTGCCAATTTCCAATGTTCCAATTTTGGTGTTGAAGACACCAATTTAGGCGAACAATCTTATGCTGCCTGGATAACTCGGGAACCCATAACTGTCTACTGCTGTATAGTCCTTCAGCACGAAGTCTTTTTCTTGCGGTTTCAACTGAAAGACTTACATTATCCTGTTGTTGTACATGATCTTATGTGGGCATTCGTTTGGCCTACATAAGATCTATCTAATCTATCTTATTAGCCTTCTTCGGTCCATCTTTGGACATAGGCCTCCCCAATCGTTTTCCATTCTTCTCTGTCTGTCGCTATAGTCATCCATCTAGAGCCCATGTGCTTCTTGATATCATCTGCCCATCTCATTTGGGGCCTTCCTCTGCTTCGTTTTTATTCCCACGGTCTCCAACTTATAAGAATTTTGTTCCATCGGTCTTCTTTTTGTCTTATATTGTGTCCGGCAAATCTCCATTTCAATTTTGCAACTTCTTGTCTAACATCCCTCACTTTTGTTTTCTCTCTTATCCTCTCGTTTCTCTTCTTATCCATTAGTCTTATGTGCAACATTTGTCTTTCCATTGCTCTTTGGGTTTTTATGATTTTGTCCATGTTTGCCTTTGTAGATATCCACGTTTGGAAACCATAAGTAAGAACAGGGAGTACGCATTGATTATATACTTTGGTCTTAAGATGCTGTGGATACCTTTTGTTTTTAAGAATGTAGCTTAGTTTGCCAAATGCCGCCCATGCCAGTCTAACTCGTCTCTTGATCTCTGCTGTTTGGTTCTCTTTGTTAAGTTTTATAGTTTGACCAAGATATATATAATCCTTAACTTGTTCTATTTCATCTTGTCCGATTCTCATTGTGATGTCTTCATCTGTATTTGTTATAGTTTTGGTCTTGCTGTAATTCATATTAAGGCCTATCTTTCCAGCTTCTACGTCCAGTTCTTTCATCATTTCAAATAATTCTTCTTTTTTATTGGTTATCAATACGATGTCATCAGCGTACCTTAGATGGTTCAAGCGTTGTCCACAAATTTTTATACCTTTTTTTTCCCATTATAATCTTTTAAAAGTATCTTCAAGAGCCTGATTGAAAAGTTTCGGTGATATTGTATCACCCTGTCTCATGCCTCTACTTATTTGTAATAATTTTGTTCCTTCATATACCTTAATTGTTGTTTTGGCTTCCTTATATATATATATTGGTTATTAGTTCCGTATATCTGTGGTCAATTCGGCTGTTAATCAAAGAACTTTTCACTGCCCAATGTTCGACACTGTCGAAAGCCTTTTCGAAATCTATAAACGCCGTACATAAGAAAGGCATAAGGAATTACATACATTCCGTGTTGTTCATTTGGAATGTTGTCTTCAATTTATAGGACAAGAGTTGAAAGTATTTGAAGAATCTAACCGTAGAATCTCAAATCGGATTTATGAACATACCATTTCTGTTTACAATTCCGATATAAATTCAGTTTTGGATTTGCAGAATTAACAAGGATTATCCGAGAAGCCATAGAAATTGAAAAAAGTCTAAATTGTCTCAAGAAAGAAAAAATATAGTTCACTCTACCCTCCAATCAAAATCCCACCGCCAGAATATCTTGACGCCATCCCCAACTCAAACGAAATCATTGTCGACGGTATAAATGATTCTTCTGCAGTGTAGTGACTAGTGAAGAGTATAGTAGTGTCTGGAAGCTCAGGAGACTCCAAAAGTCCTAAAATCAGAGAGGATGTCGAAAGCTTAGCGAAGTAATAATCGACGCGTTTCAACCTGGAACCCTGATGAGTTTAATATTAATTTTTATAATAATATTGATCTTTTCATTGATAACTTTTGAGATGTTGACATTATGTTAGCTTAATGTATACACAGTGCTATACCAGATATATTTATTTTAATAATGTCTGATGTATAATAAATTTGTTTTATTTTACTCACCCCATATCCCAGCAATTCTCCATTTCTGGTGATCGTGGATTTGAATGACGGTATACTTCAGGTATTTCTTTTCTTATAGAATAATATGTCGTTAAATTTTTCTTTGTTTTGTCTAGATTGTACTTACAATTCGTTAGAAAAAACTCGAGAGTACTGTCGGCTAAAAAGTACTTACAATTTAATAATTTTGGTAAAATATTGTTAAAAGTGCAAAAAAAAGCTGAATACTTATTTTGATAATTTAATAAATATTTTCTTATCTGACGACTTAGATAGGAGTTTTGTACTAGTATGAGGTAGTATTCAGGTGTTCTAATATTTAAGTGGACAATGACACCACTTACATATTATTCAAATCTAGCAAGACCTAAGAATTGACTTGGGAGAAAAAAATTAATTAAAATCAATTGTGATGCTATTGATGCACTTATATTAAACAAAGACCATCATTTGTGTATGGATAAATATTACAAAAAGCATTTAAAACATTGCAAACATTATCTAACAAATTACTTAGTAAAAGGTCACATGTGACAGGAACTCTTCATGTAAATAGGAAGTGTTTGCCGCAAGAAATGACGAATTATCAAATTATAATAAATTTTTTTGTTTTTTATTTGTTTTTGTTTAATTATGAACTAAAATTTCGTGTAAATCTCTTGTTAAACACAAAAAAATTGTTTTTGGGTCATTAACCCCAAGCTAGTATTAATGATCATATTTTTATTTATGGTGTAATTTTCTGCTTGGTGTAAGTTTTGCAACACTGGATACTCCCTGTTTCTGTTGTTAATTTTTATGGTGTTTTTATTTTTTTATATATTTAAAAATGATGGCATTTTGTTCTAAGAGATTAAGAGAAAATATGATAAAAAATATTTTGGAGTTTGAAGATGTTTGGGAGGATTTAGAAGGCTCAAAGAGAAATGAACCTAGCACAAATGTATCTGGGAATGAACCTAATAGAGAAGCTGTATTGTATGAACTTGAAGTATTGTAAGAGGAGGTTGATAAATATAATGAGAGCAATGTAATATTTAGTGATCACGGTTTATCAAAAATAGTTGGTATGGTAAGAGAAAATTTCAAATGGTCCAAAACGCCGGCTATTAAGGGTAGTACGCTCCTGCTCATAATTTAGGGTCAATCTTGCCTAGCCTTGTTGATCCAGTTCTTAATAATCACTAAAGTGAGCCTATAGATGCTGGAAGTCTATTGATTGTCAGTAATATGATACAAAAAGTAGTTGATTTTACCAATTTTAAAATATTCTCTACCAGCGAAAACTGTAAAAGGTCCAAAAGGTTTCGTCAGTTAAAAATTAAATTTTAGCCTTCTTTTAACCACCAATTTCTCTGAAATTTTTCGGGCTATTGTATCTGCACTAATTTTTTAAATCTGGATTTTCTTTTCAGACTAAAAAAAAGAGAATTGATATAATATTGGCTCTTTTGCCTCCAGTTGGTGCTAAAAGCGACCAAGAAAGTAGTAGTGATGATGAACAAGAGATATTATCTCGTAATTTTTTTAAAGAATTCACAGAGGACACAGATGATGTAAAGAAAATATAACTTTTGAAGGAGATATTGAAAAAGCTATAGAAATGTTACCTGTTTTAGTCAGTAAACGAAGACTAGTAGCAGCTACTCCCTCAGTAGTGCCACAATATTCTCCAGTAATCCAAAAACAAGAAAGTTCTTCAATAAAACGGAAGGGGAAAAAAGATAAGCCTTCATTCAACTGGAGGACTGATGATTTTGAATATGAGGTAACAATGGAACAAAGTAATTGTTTTACAAAATCCTAAAATATAAAAACCCCTTTGGTGTTTTTTTATATTTTGAAGCTTTAAAATATTTTAAAACCTTTTTTAGTCCAGATATTGTTGAATTAATCGTAGAACAAACTAACCTGTATTTGACAAAACATTTCACAAATATGTAGACCCAAGTATAAATGAGATCCACGATTTCTTAGCTATCTAAATTGTAATGGGGATTGTTGACATGCCGGCGTACACGGACTATTACATACATACCATGATTTAAATAATAGGAAAACCCATTTAGTCGGAACATTACATGACAATAGGAAACATAATCCAAAAGCGGTAGTCGATGCAAAATTAAAAAGAATTGACATAACTATATACAGAGTAATACAAAAGTTATCGGAAAACAGAAAAATAAACGGGACGTTTTGATTTTAACGTCCAAGGATATTCCTTTGATGATGATGTTCAAACAAAACGTGGATCTGTTCCCAAACCATCGACCATTGTTTACTATAATTCTGCAAAATCTTTTATCGATATGTCGGATCAAAAGGCTGCATGTAATTCCCCTGTTCGATGAAGTATAAAGTGGTATCTTAAATTGGCTGTGGAATTAATAACAAATACCGCAATTGTGAACTCCTTAGTTCCCTACAAATATGTTACCGGCAAACATCTCTCAGTTACTGAGTTCCGTGAACAGATTGTTCAAAGTCTTTTAATGCCGCAAACAACTTCTGAAAACACTTTAACAACTCTGCATACGTTTGACGAGAAAGAGAAAAGGAAAAGGTGTTCAGTATAATATAAAAACTTTTCGAACCGTGAAGGAAGAACATCAGCGATGAAGAATGCCAAAAGGGTGTACCCTTTTTGTCCGGCATGTACCGTTATTATCGCATATACAAATTGAACGAATTTAAAACGGATCATACAATTTAATATATGTCTGTTTAAACTGCATTTGAAATAGTGAACCAATATAAAACTTGGACAAAAATAAATTCATACCTGGGTATAGACATTGTATAAAATATCGTTTAACTATCTGTCTCGCAACAATGTTGTTTGCGTAAAGGAAGCGATAATAGTTCAGGAAATGAAGCTCGAAAAAAGTTAAAACTTCGCAATTTTTTCGTCCTACATGGATTGAGTTGAAATTTTAAAAGAAGGTATGTGATAGCCCAAGGATCAAAATCTGTATCGAACCGAAGTGCACTGAAGGGTTTTAGGGGTGAAAACCCCTAATTGTCAAAAATTATAAAACAACATATTAAACCTGAATATGGGTAAGATTTGGTTTGATTTAGTTAAATAATGATTATTTTATACTTTTGAATAGAGTTCCATCATATTTCAACCCTTAAAAAGCAACCCTTGTTAGGGATTAATGTAAAAAAATTACTAATTCTAAAAAAATGATTTCGCCTTGGATCGGTTTGGATAAAAATTTGGATTTAAGCTCAATTCACCCACTGCTTTATAGTTTATGTCATGTCGACGAACCCTGATTGTTATTAGGGGTGAAAACTACCCCCAATTGTCAAAAATTATAAAATAACATATTAAACCTGAATACGGGTAAAATTTGGTTTGAATTCATTAAATAATGATAGTTTCATGCTTTTGAATTAAGTTCCATCATATTTCAACCCTTAAAAAGCGACCCTTATTAGAGATTAATGTTAGAAAAAGTAGTAATGCGAAGAAAATGATTTCGCCTTGGAACGATTTGCATAAAAATTTGGAATTAAGCTCAACTCACCCTCTGCTTTATAGTTTATGTCATGCCGATGAACCCTGATTATTCTTAGGGGTGAAAACTACCCCTAATTTTCAAAAATTGTAAAATAACATTAGAAATCTTGAGTGAAATTTGGTTTGGATTAGTTAAATAGTGATTTTTTTATACTTTAAAATACAATTTCATACATTTTCAACCCTTTAAAATCAATTGTTATGAGTGCTATAGGTGAAAACAATTTTTTGCCAAAATTTTGCAACTTTTTTGGTTTTTTAAATGGGGTGAGTTTAAAGTGCCCGAAAAAGATGGTGCTTGATCGTAAATCGATGCTTTAAACGGCTATATCTCGCCAAATATTCATTGTACAACAAATCTAAATAAAGGAAAATTTTAGTCATTAAAAAAGCTACAATTTAGTACATTTATTATTATTTTTTTTTTATATATTCAGTATTTTCGGGGATATTTGAAAAAAGAAGGGTAAAAAATATGAAATTGTAAATCGTTTCTCGCTTTATGCTGTACTTTTTATAAAACTAAGCATTTTAAATGGGTCAAACTTCTTGGACGTATTAACAATATTTGTACAAAGAGAATTGCAGAAGGGTTAAGATCGATTTTAATTATGGGGTTCGTTAGGGGGTTGTTTTCATCGATTTTTTTGTAAAAAATGAGGTATTGACCTTATTTTCATCATAACTCACTCAATTTTTGAGCTAGTCTTTTTTTATGATTGGTCTATTTATGCTTTTTAAAAAAGGTTCTGTGAGTTTTCTTCCAAAAATGCATCATTTTCCCGATATTTGACTTTGAATCTTTCAAATTTGGCATTTGAAGAAAACCGCTGAACATTAATAGGCCGTATTTCGGTTCCTGTTATATCGCAAAAACATTTTAAAAAATGAATTGTATTTGTCTTTTTAAAAGCTACAAATTTGTTCTCTACAATTTTTTTTTTGATAAAATGTACCATTTTCGAGTTATTCCCGAAAAATCGATTAAAAACGTCGATTTTTTCGTCTAAAAGTTGTTACTTTCAATCGCGAATAACTTGAAAAATATCAGTTTTACAAAAAAATTATAAACAACATTTTTTGTTTAGAATCACTTCTTTAATCGAAACCTGTAGTTAAAACGTAAAAAAAAATTCATCCCCTAGAGGGGGTGGCAACCACCCCCAAGGCTTTGGCGCACTTTGGTTTGATATAGATTTTGATCCTTGGCTACTACCTATCTTCTGTTAAAATTTCAAGTCAATCCACGCAGGACGAAGAAATTGCGAGGTGAAATGCTTCATTTCCTGGACTATAAGTGGTTTGACCGCATAATAAAATCGTAGATTTATGTGTAGCTTTAAATTTTTATGATTTCAGAATCCAGCAGCCCGCTGAAGTATTGGATTTTTATAATATAATTATTTGACAACCTTTTGTTGGCCAACCACCTACAGCAGAATTGAGCCGAAATACATAATATTTCGTATAATCCGAATTTATTTCGTTCAATCTGTATGTGTTAAGTGTTTTTTAAATATTCATACATGTTCTTTGAAAAAATAAATTGTTTTTGTATTTTTAAACTAAAAATATCTTAGGGAGAAGGTATTTGATTATTTTCCTGGTGTGAACCAATATGGCACACATGTTCCACATTAAAACAAATTACAAAAATAATTATAAATAGAGCCTGTGTACCGTGTTGGTACATGCTGTTTTTTACTTAAAAAAATGTATTTTTTTTTTTATTTTAGAATCGAAATAAATAGGTGTACACATTCTTATTTCAAAATTACGGGTTAAATAAAAGTATTAAAACATAGGAAATTATTAAATATTGAGATAAATGTTTAATCTTTAATCATGGTTTTTATATGATAAAAGCAATCCACGCATATCAAACGCACGTGTATTGATGGTTCTCTGAATTTGTATCAAAGTATCTGTAACATGCGCGCTTAAAATAGCGGGTTTCTACAACCTTGAACTTTATATACATCTCTAGACGTATAATTAAGGTATTTTTTTAAAATTTACACAAAACAATGCTAACCATACGGTTGAAATATAAATATTGGTTTAATTAAAATTTACTTACTTGGCATTTCAGGAAAATTTTGTGTTTTAATCCATTCTTTCAGTCTGTCTAATAGTTCGAATATTTCTGTTTCGGTTTTGCCCCAGTGTTTTCTTACCTTGTCTCTGTTTACCACTAGAAGGTTACTAAACACCCCTTCATCCATAACTTTAACATCACTCATACTTTTTCAACAAATTATCTAATCCTAGATTTCAAAACAATGGAGGTCATTACTTGAACCTTCCGCTGTGGTTCCGGTTTGTAAACAGTTGAATATAGAAATATGCGAAGATATAAATACGAGACGAAATTTGCGTCGTTTTTTTTTTTGTAGTTACATACGATCGTCTATCTACTGTAAACTTGCACTGAAAAGGACGAGAGCAAATATTTTACTTTATACTCTACTTTGTTATCATTATCAGTTAATAAAAGCAATAACAAACTTAATGTTGATTATTATTTTTATAATGGTTTGCAAATTACGTTAGAATGTTTTCTTATATATCTAGATAATATATAGATATCATTTTCGAATGAATGCAATCTCCAATCAATACTATTGGAGATGGAAATATCAATCCTGTATTATACTTTTTTCATTTCTAAATAAATAATATCTATCCTATGAAATTATATGAAGCTGAGACTTGGGTATTAAAAAAAAGAATCGAGGCCTTCGAACTCTGGTTATACCGCAGAGTATTGAAAATATCATGGACTGATAGAATTACAAATAAAGAAGTACTGGAAAGGGTTGGTAAAGAAACAGAACACAGAACTAATCACCACTATACAAACCAGAAAACTGAAGTACCTAGGCCACGTGATGAGGGGACCAAAATATGAAATTTTGAGACTCAAATACAGGGAAAGAGTCAAGGAAGAAGATCTGTTGGCCGAAGGCAAAACTCATGTTTTATACACTACATAAGGGGGCAAAATTTGACCATCAGCAGTAGCAGAAAACGTAACTGAGATCGAGCTTTTAGTAGAATTCATCACGCTTTCAGGATATTTACATCCTCGTCTAGCTATTATTTTACTTCTGCCCGGATCATTATATAAGTTAGTTTCGTCATAAATCATTATATTCGATGGAGGAATTTTAACCAGTTCTGCTTCAAGTCTGTCAAAGTATTCATTAATTGTTCCCAGAGAAATGATTGTTCTGGCTCGTTTTCTGTTTTGGCATAATCAGAATGACAAGCTAGCCTGGTGCCTTTCAAGAAAGAGTAGACAAACTTCCGACCAAGTAAATTGTCTTTACATTGTTTTATGGTCTTGGCTTGGCGGTCAAGAAAATCTTAAATTAGAAGTCTGAGTTAGTGAATCAATGGGATAGCCAGATTCACTGCAAATAATTGGGCGACTCACCAAAGTTTTTTCCTTTTCTTTATTTAAAGCAGTTGTTCCCTAAATTTTTTTAAGCTGATAACCCTTTCTGAAATGTCTATAAATAACACTTAAGGCTGTTTTAGCAGTTCAAGCACACTGCGATTTAAAATGGGCGTATCACTTACTTTTCTACACTGCTTACGCGAGACTATCTTTACTCAGTGGCGCCGGCCAATGGCTAGTTTAATGACAGCAAATGCATTAATCTTCATTCAAATAAGTTTTTACACGAGCTAACTGACCGTACATTCATGAGATTTGACGTCACGAAGGCGATAATGGTGAAACTAAGCAACAATCATGAGTAACACGTTTCACTATTAGATTTTAGTATTTTTTAGCAATTTTCTTCAAAGTTGAAACACGTGTTTCTTGATTATTACTGGACAGAGAAAGGTGAAAAAAAAAATCAACGATTACAGAAAAAAAAACTCTTTCAAGTGATGGGCGTAAAAAGTTTGGTTATAATAGAACGTTAAACAGTATAACCCAATATTTTAACAGAAGTTTCAAAAAAATAAAAAAAGTAAAACCATCATTTTAAAAGCAACATAATTTCGAATATTGTGTCCAAATATTCGGGACATTTCTTCGGTAAATAACAGTCCCTAGGTTTTGGTGCACCGATAAAACAGCCTTAATATAATGCCATATTTACTCTCTGCTTTCCTGAGGCTGAGACCATTGACCAACTCTGCTACGGCTTTCCTGGGCATGCTGAAGGTAAACAAGTATATTAGATATTTTGTCAAGTATACTGTGTGAAATAGCTGTCTACTGTGTTTCTATTCACCCCACGCATCCTAAATATATGACATAACCTCAAACAACATTCTGAAAATAGAAAAGTGTGTTATTTATACATTCTTAAAATATGTTATCCTTTTTATAGGTATATAACACTAAAGAACTATTACAAATCAAGAACATAACATGATACGATATAATACTTACATTTAAAGTTTAGAAGATGTCGAAATATCTGCTTAAAACAAAACATGTTAATCTTGCAATAAATCTGACTCTCAATGCTGCGAAACACGTAAACCTAGTTTATTCCCTTCAAATGTATCAACTTGCAACCAGAAGTTTACCCCTTTACCACTACTTTTACCCCCTGAAATGTGGCATAAAACTATTTTGGATTTTTTTTTACTATTCACATGGAAGACAATAGTAAACGCGGCAAAGACTCACGAAGAGTTGTAGCGCCATTGATGATGATGATGATGATTTACTATTCACATCACTGTTTTTATTCACCCCCTTTTAAGGTACCATAGTGGGTGTTCTGAATATTCCTTCAGAGATTCCTTAATAATGTCTTCCACGTAAACTTAAAGAGAAGCGGAGACAGGAGGCATCCATGATGTACTCCTACAATTTTTGTTGTAAATATAGAGTATTAGAAAGAAATGTTGCGCTGAAAAAAGGCCGTGACAACATCTATTTATACTGCAACATCTAATTATAGGTATATATTTTTGTTACATTTAGACTATCTTCAAATGGTTTTTTACTTAATTGCTTATTCGACTCTTTAACAGGGTATCAATAACTGTTTTGAAATCGGAGCAAAGCCAATATTCCGGAATTATTTTTTTTTAATAAGGAAACTTGAATAGAGATAAATGTAAATCAAAACTTCCAGTATAGACAGATAGTAAATATAAAAAATAAAATTGCTATTTTTTAGATTAACAAATAATTAATTATTTATTTAATCAGTTCAAAAGTACTAAATTATAAGCACACATTGCAGTATTATTTTTTATCAGGTTTTTTATCTTACTCAGTTTTTAACAAATAAATAACATTGTTGTTATCCTAATTATTGTCTGTTGATTGATAGACATAATCACCTCCAAATTTGATGTTATTCTTGAATAAATAAAAGTGTCTGGCTAACTGACCGTAACCAAAGCCATTAATACCAGGAAAAATACATCGCTTACTACCATTTATTTCACAGTAAAGACCTCATTTGCATGGATAAAATTATGAAAAATCTTGCTTGTTGATGTATTCGTATATATTCGTATAATCAGGTTATTAAATGAACAGACTGATATGTGTTTGTATACAATTACGACAAATCAAATAATGGAAAAAGAAAAGTATTTTTGAAGTGTGTAAACATTTATTTTCTAGATGAACGCTTTCGGTCTATAAAGCCATCATCAGAGCTATGCTCCAAAAGAACAATTATATAAATAGCTCATTTATAATGTTTCAGTTACCAGTTTCAACCAGTTAGACAGAGGTCCCAGTATACTGAATTCGGAAGTCAATTCGAAAAAGTCAAAAATACAGCAAGTCAAAAACAATAAAGCACCTGGACCAGATCAAATCTCTGCTGAACTACTTAAACTTTTGGATGAGAAAAGCATTGCCTGCTTAACCACTGTCTTCGACAAAATTTACAACGAATGAAAAATACCAGATGATTGGTTAGAGTCACTGTTTACAACATTACCAAAGAAAAGCAGGCCCACCAAATGCAGCGATTTTAGACTAATCAGCTGAAGATACTCATACAAATTTTACAAAACCGAGTATTCCTTCTATGGGAAAGTAAGATGGGTGATAAGCAATTTATATTTAGAAACAGTCTAGGAACTAGAGAGGCACTATTCTGTATGCGCGTTCTATTATAAAAAAGTTGTGAATTCCGAAAGAATGTTTTTGTTGGGTTGCAGGCGGCAGGGTTGTGTTTTGTCACCCACTCTTTTTAATATGGACTCTGTAGAAATCTTTGTATGACAGGCAAGAGGGAGTAATCAACAATATTAGATACGCTGACGATACAGCCATTCTTGCAGAAAATTTACAAGATCTCCAAACATTACTAAATCTAGTCAGTGAAGCAAGTTATCGGAGGGGCCTTATTTCAAAGACAAAGTGGATGGCATTTGGAAAGATCAATATAGATCAAGGTCTGATTTCTCTTAATGGAGAAGAGATCAAAAGGGTAAATCATTTTAAATACCTTGGCAGCTGGTTAAATGTAAATTGTGACTCTGATGAAGAGATAATAACCAGGATCGAAATATCACGTAAGGCTTTTATGACCTGGAAACCAGTTTTATGCAACAGAAACCTGTCGATGAATATTCGTAAGAAGGTCCTGAAATGTTATGTGTGGTCCATCCTATTGTATGGTTGTGAGACATGGACGGTAAAAACCACAATGCTAATTAGAAGCATTCGAATTGTGGTGCTATAGACGAATCCTAAAAATATCGTGGGTTTCGCACACTTCCAATGAAGATGTTCTTCAAATGATCAATTCAGAACATCTGCCCATAAACACCATAATAAGGAGAAAAACAGTATACTTTGGCCATATAATTAGAGGACCTAAATACCATCTACTTCGCTTTATAATACAAGGAAAAGTGGAAGGAAAGAGGATTATTCGAAAGAAACTTTCATGGCTGCCTAATATTAGACAACGGTGTGGTTCCACAGTAGAAGAATTATTTCGCGCAGCAGCTGGCAGAGAAAGGTTTCAGAAAATTGTAAACATGATGACGGCTAACGTCTGAATACAGACACAGCACCCAAAAAGGAAGAAGAAATTTTAGTCTTGTTGTTGTCATTGCGGAGATTTAATTGTACTATCTGCAATTATTTTATTGATACAGCCCAAAGAAACAATTTTTGGCGTGGTTAGATGAAATTGAAGCAAAGGAGAATGAAAATAAACCTGGTTTAAAAGATGAAGAGGACAGTAATACAGACAATGATGTGTTACCCATGAAGGTGCACATTTTTTGTTGCTTAGCAAATTGCGCGATGTAAACTAGATGTCTCAGTCGAAAATAAGTTCTTAAGTTAGCAACCTGCTTAAACCGGTTGCTCTCCTATATCCATAAGTTCTCTTCCCCTAGATACCACGGTACTGTTGTTCTCTCTACTTCACTGTATACTTTATAACCCTATTATTTTAAAAATAACA